CAATGTAAACTCGCATCAGCTGTGCCCACACGATACCGTCTTCTGCTGTTGTCGCCTCCTTCTCTCCGCCGGCGATCGCCGCATTTTCGGATGCTGTGGCCTTGGAGCAGCGACAGGGCATGTAGATGGGCAGATCACGGGAGAGGAGGGAGGAGACGGCGCGACGCACATCACAGCCCTGCATCAGGCCCACCATGGCGCGCTGGGGTCCGGCTAGGAAGAATCGATGGCCCAGGCAGCACTCCATCTCGAAACCGATGAAGAGCTTAATTGTGTCAAAGTCTGGCGCGCGCGTGGGTGTGGAGTAATGGAAAAGAACCAAAAAGGGAAATTAATATACGAGAGGCAAGGGGAGCACGCCATTCATCTCTTCAGTACTGGGCCACAAGCATGCAAGCAGTCTTTCGCTCAGTCATAGCCGTTTGAGGTATGAAGAACAGTGCCGCTAACCAACCCAGGGACTCACGGATGTCTCCACTAAGGAGCTGAGTTTCTTAAGCCTACAATTTATGTACTAGTTTGTGAAATATTAACTAAAATTCTCAAATGTGTTTTCAATTCGAGAAAATTGCTCAGGTATATTCATCCCATTAATTACAGTTCACCCTAATTCCGAGATATTTCAGTGAAGTAAGGATGCCGACTTTCGAACAAGTCGGTTTTGGATAGCGCGCAGAAACTGTACTGACTACTTAAGCAGTATGCATTTTTCTTATTGATTTTCGATGCCCCCCATAAATTCAAATATATTTTATAGAAAAAATGCAAAAATATGAGAAGGTGCGAATTAGGTCTTTTTTTATCTTTTACTTAAAGGGAAGGTATCTTTTGGTTGTAAAATACTTTTGCAATTGTGGAATAATTTTGAAACCTACTTGTCCTTATACCTACGTTTATGGTCTACAGTTTGCAAGCTGTATAGTTTCCGTGTAGGGAAAATCAAATAGTTCTCTAAGTTATGAGAAAGGCGTCAATTAGTGTTCAGTAAATTTTGCATTGTATGTGGATCATGTTGCAAACCTTATAAGCAACATCAGTAAAGGAACAGATATGGTGCTTTATCAATGGCAATTTCATGGTCTTAAAAATTCCAAAATTCAGAACTTTTTAAAAGCAGAACATACTTTTTTCAAGTATAAAAAATGGATGAAAACGTAATGGGTACATAACGATTATTTTCGGGCATGTTTTCTACAAAGTATAGTTTTAAATTATAAGAGTGTCGAAAATCGATAGGAAAATTCGTACTATTTAAGTAGGCATTTTTGCCAAGTGCATTTTTTAGGTGGCAGCAGCAGAGTGAAATCCCCATATTAAGGAGCAGAGCACGTCTTTTACCGCCCAGAATGTATGATGGAAACGCAACAAGTCAGACCTGGGAAACCTGAGCGCAAACACATAGAACATACCTGCAAGCTTTATAACTGCCTACCGTTGGCGTTATGTTTACTGACAAAAACTAAAAAGTCGTTAGCATCAAGAATTTGATTGGGTTAACATGGTTCTGTAAAAAACGTCTGTTATGGACTCTGAAGGGATGGATAAAATATACCGACCCACGAAGGGAGCCTAGCAGTGACTCGCGCATGAACCTGTTCATACTGAATCAGGCATGTACTGCACCTATCTCACTCACTCCTGCTCACAACGCAGCGTATTCCTATGGATTAAGATGACCGGAATTGAGCGCGAGTGTAATGTCTGGCAAAATTAATCCGTCTACACGTGTCACACACGGCCCAGCTGCTGCTGCTGCACAAGCACCTGGTGTTTCAAATCCCATATTGGTGAGAGCGCCAAAGACCACATTAACGCGGCGCCAAATTCAGCCCGATCCGCAGTTGCGAGTTAAGTGGAGTAGCCCCATGAGTTGGGAATCTGTCAAGTCACGACTAACAGTTTGTTATCGTAGATTCACGCCC